TTTCATATTTGTATGTTTCTGCACTCACATAAGATACACAGGCAATATTTCTCTATCCTAAGATGATAATAACATAACGTGAAAATTATTACAAGTATTTTACATTAAGTGAAATAATGGTATGGATGAAGCTTCTCTTACATGGAGGTTTAAACTTTTTAAATATCATAATTTTTAACAACTTTTAAACTAAAGTAAATCTTCCATTAATACCGAGGAGTGCCATATCATTTTCTTTCTTTTTAAGGAAATTTTATAGGGAACAATGTGTACATTATGAACCGAATAAAATACTTTGGTTTCCTATTAATGATTTTTTTTTTATTATGAATAGATCTGACTTGTGATCTCCAATGAATTAAGTCCGGAAAGAACTGTTTATATATGTTATAATCCTCGTTGATTTTGTACTTTGCTACAGATTCCTTAATTAAGGGGGAAAAAGTATTAATAAAATCCTTTCATGTTGAAAGATTTGAAATTTTTTGTGCACTGATCCTAAAAGAGTGAAAGGTGAAACATGCATGTCTAAGACACAGGTGGTAGAAACACATCTTTCATTGAAAAAGCAACTGGAAAGGAATGCAGTTGCCTGTTAGGAGAAGTGAAATTCATTATTTTAACTTCCTTGGTCACCTGCATACATTACCACAAAATAATGGCTTTCATAAATCTAGAACACTTACACACTTGAAGCTGTCGAAGAAAAATACTGATGTACACAAATGCATGTACTGATTTTGTATATCATCACAACGCCACTGTTCTGATGACATGCCTAAACCCTAACAACCTCTCTATGCCTGAATCGAGAAGTGCTTTGGAATGACAACTTCATCCCTGAAACGGCAAGATCATTTTATCCCACAAATAAAATGGCTTGTTTCAGGATTTGTGCATCTGACATTAAAAGTAAAAAAGTATGATTTGCTCAAATAAATGAGTTCTTGGAATTTGGAATTATCCTTAAGTGTCGATATATTTGTTACAATGTTAACACCACCTAAACTCAAAACAAGTTATGCAACTATTTACTGCCAGTGACATTTTAAGCATCCAGTTTAGACTTGCAGTGGTGCTGCTGCTGCTTATAAGTATTTTACGTCCATACTGGTTCTATGCTGTTTTTCTTGATTGGCTCTGGTAGAGGGATCACGTATTCTAAGAGGCATTGTCAGAAGGTATTATTTATCATTTTTGCATAGTAGGTTTCTTTGTTGAATGACTACATGACTGATTATTGGAAATGCATCAGCATTTTTGAATCACTGTTGTTCAACGCTCTATTTCTCCATCGGTAGTGTGTAAAATTCAAAGTAGAATTCGTGAATACTTTTGCACTAGTGGTCTTATTTTTGTGTTATAATCAAGCTTGTTAGTGGATATCAAGAAGAAAGAAATTGTACCTGGGCCATTCCAAAAGAAGGCGTACTAATACAATTTAAAGAACAGATGAGAAAATAAAATCGTTTGACATCTTGGATTGTCAATTCGATGATGTGTCGAATTCTGACAATGATTGGGAAAACAATTAGAACAATGCTAGAGTTGAAAGTGGCCAAGAATGTAGGGGTAGTGATCAAAGAGACATTAGTAACCATGTAACAACTGCTAATTGAACGATTTGTAAATTTATTATACACAGCATTATATGTAGTTTTGCATTTAATAAAGTTTTTGTTCGCAAGTACTTTAAATTGTTTTCCATTTGAAATTAAAGAAGAAAGAAGTATTGGACGGCACTCAGTTCCAAAATATTCCTCCAGTACCACTAATGCTTAAAAGCATCAACAAATAAATTACAATTAAGCATAATGCTAGTGCACATCGACATTCTGAAGTTGCACACAAACATTAATTTTATATTAATTTAAAATTTCTCAAGAAAAGATAGGTGGCACATTCAAACATATTTTGAGTCACAGCAGTCAACATGTTAAGGGACTTTGGTTTTGATGGTTTGACTGAGATTTAAGAGCATACAAAAATTCAAGATCTTGACAACCATTTTGATTTTACATTTGTGAAATGTTCTTAAATAACAAATGAGTAATTTTAAAATGGATCGATAAATGGAATCAATGTTTCATGGATTGATGTTTGGTTGTCGACATTTTTTCCTAACAATTTGCATCATGGCCCACCATGATGATCTAAAATGTAAGGAAATAGACTCTGGCATACCTTTATTACAGTTTTTGTCATACTAACAGGATACTAACAAAACTGGTACAGAGAAGGGTCTTTCACAACAAAATCCAGCAAGTTGTCTCCTTGTAAAAGAAGGAAAACTTACTATACCTTACGAAATAGAAAGTAGCATGAAAACAAAGTCAATCACATAAACGTTTATCCAAAAACAAGTTGGGAGTAGAAAGAGGATTACCTCATGGGTGCTTCACAAATCACTTTAATATTTTACTTGATGAAGAAATAAAAATATAATTGATATTTTTGATGAATTTTAGGATATGAAAAACTTAATACTGGCAAAAAGAGAGAAAGCCATTGAATTGCATGTTTTGTAGTAACTTTATTATTAACTCAATTTTAACATAAAATTTAAAGCATAAAAAGGTAGTCCTTTATCTTCATGATTTATTTCTTAATTTCTTCCCAAGATAAAAGTTGAAGATATCGAACAGACGAAACTAAAAATCTTATGCGCTAAAGATGGAAGAATATATCATGAATGTGAACTCAGTTTATTAAAACTAAGAACTCGTCAAGTATTATAATACGTAACGACTATTGAATCTAATTGTAAAGGCTGTGTAAATCTGTTCATTTAAAACTGCTATAAAATTTGACAACTGTTCCATACTCCAAAATTTGACAACTTACTAATTCATTCCAAGCAAACACCCAACTTCTACCTGAGAGGACATCCAGCTTTACAAGAAGCAATTTTAAAAGCATTGTTTTAAATATGCTCTTTTCAGTAAACCATACAACTCCCTATATCAAGTTGTTTAGGCTCAGATCACATTCAAAATCCCCAGGATTACTCGATGTTAAATTGATAATTTATTATTAGATTTGAGAATATCCTTGTATTGCAAACATCCTTCTGTTCCTAGTACCAGAATACAATGCTCCACATAATTCACTATCATGATCATATAAAATAAAATAATTCACCATCACTTTTACCCACCCAGAACTTCTACTTCGTAATTTCATTTAATCGTAAGAACTACGAACTTTTGCAAAAAATTTAAAAGATTCAGGAAGAAACAAGAATGATAAGATTATGAATTTGTGAGAAACACTCTGAAATAAGAACATTGAGAAATAAACTAATTGTAATTGTATATGTGACTCAATAAATATTATTATTATTATTATTATTATTATTACAAACTAGATCCTTTCTATTACATCTGCTGTACTACAAAGTTCTCGGAACAAGCCTAATATCGATGTCACTCCATTCACCTCAAAATATTTTCTGTATGCAATAATATCCAAGATCAAGAAGACTTGCTTGTGTAAGTCATTGCAAATTTAGTCATTATTTGACAACTCTTTCACAGGCATATATGGTAAGTTGGGAGAAATAACAGCCAGTACCGATAGTAATAATTAAGGGTATTGTAGAGCACCCTTACTGCACCCCCCCCCCAATCATATTAGCAGGGGGGAAAAAAGGGTACCTTATTAGATTAAACCCTGCTATTCCATGTGGAATAATCACCAGTGACGATAAGGTTATTACCAGTGAAACAAGTTTTAAATTAAAACGAAAAAAGCCCAGGACTCAGTACAGATTGCAGATTATTTTTTAGTTTTCAGATAAATTGTTATGTTATGTTACGAATGTTGCACTTGACAACCTTATGTATCACACACACACACACAAGATTATGTGCTCAATGAAGATGTGTATACTGAGTAAGCGAAAATAAGTTAACCTTTTTCTATTGATCTAATCTGAGCGTCACTGATGGAACTTAATACAATTAATAATTATGATTTTAAATTCATTGGTATAATAATTGAAAACTAGAATATCTAAATTGTCATTTTTTTTCTATTCAATAGCATCTTGGCATTTTCTTGAAAAAATGCAGTGGTGCTAGGTTGAAATAGTTTTTAAGATTATAATTAGGAGAAGCAGTGCATGCACACGTTTTTATTCTAGTTATTGATTTAGTGATCTTGGTACTGTCTGAAATTAATTGTCAATTTTATAAAAAGTCGCTTTCAATTCTATTTGTTAATCTTTGAAGTTTATATCGCATATTTTTCCTAAATAAAGATGAACTCTGCAACCTCTTAGTAGTATGCTGTACAATAGTGAAGGCCGTTTCAAAATGAGGGAAAGTCAAGGTAAAATAAGACCTGGAAAATATGTGATATGATATGTCAAAAGAAATTCAGAAAATACAGAATGCAATAAAAATTGCACACAAAACATTCACAAAGTGCAATTTACCATTAGGTTAAATCCTTCAGATTTCTTGCATTATTTTCAATTTCACTGTAATTATGAGGCTGACGAGGTATTTCTATTCACGGCATGCTCTAGCAATTTTTATAATTCTTTTCTGTCCTCCAACCAATAAGAATGGACAATGCTAATCAACATTTCAAATTAATTCAGTATTTGTCTATTTTTCACCTTCCCTTATCCTGCACAAAATAAAAATAAATGCCAATAAGGGGTTGTCCATAAATTACATAATGCTAAAGCAGCGAAGGGGGTTTGAGGCTGCATTACCCTGTATTACATTGGGATATGGGGGCATTAGTTTACTGTCATAACTTTAAGTTTTCAACATTTTCTAAATATACTTTTAAAAGACACATATAACATTAAAATCCTAACTAATTAATTTGTTAACATAAATAAAATTATTACATTTAAATTGTTATACAATAACTGAAATATTTTTTTATTGAATCTATAAGGTTACAAAGAAAATATTCAAATCTGATTATGTAATATGTTCTAGAATCTATTTAAACAGGCACAGTTTGACTCGTCCAGACTATTGATAGATCTTGATCAAAAATTGTCTCATGTAGGCATCCTTACTTCACTTACAACTTGCCCCTGAGTCATCATTACCAACTAATTCACATTTTAACTATCATACATTTGAATGTTACAGGGGCAAGAGGGTATTCAAAATATTCCAAATTTGGGTTATGTAATTTATGGACTTCCTTTACCTTTCCAATATTAACTGATGACCCCTACACACACAAAAAGAGGGGGAGGAGAGAGGAAATTTCTTCACAATATTAAACATACAGGATCTTTTAACTTTCCACTTATGAAAATGTCAAACAAATTATAGAAAGACCTCCAGAAAGAAGGGTTTCAATAATAAACAAAAATATTGATGATTTTGTGTAGTTGTTTCCTGGTAGAAAATCATAAATGAAGATTTTGGACAAGAGTTCTCTCTTTCTGTCACTGATACTTTTTATTTTATATCTCGACAACATGGTAAGTGAGTAGAAGAAGCGGTTTTTAGATCTTAATATAACAGACATATTAAAGGGAATAATTAGAATTAAAATACTTATTTTTTGCTGTTGACCAAGTTATAGTTGTCATCAAAAAATTCAACTTGCAGAGATGTATACGAACTCCATAAAATAACGAAGTTATATAATTTGAAAATATTAACAAGTAAATCAAATCCATGGCAATCCAAGGACTCCAACCTCAAAGATGCAAACACGTTCTAGAAGTTAGAATAAATAGAACACGTCAACACATTAAGATTTTTAGGAAAAGATGCAATTAAAAGAACTCTCAGAGGTAAAATTAGGAGCGGAATATTACTCAAGTTCTATGAAGTGATGGCAGTGCCATATGGTAGTGAAAACTGGATACTAAATTCAACTAAGAAGATAATCTGGAAATATGGTATGATTACACTAGAAGACATCTTCATTACCATGCATAGTCATGGTCTACTCAAAATTTTATAGTAACCACCTCAATGGATAACAATACTGAAGGGTAACTTACAATCGATTTTATAATAATGCTAGGAATTTTTTGGATTGTCTCGCAATTTTGTGTGTGTGAGAGAGAGACAGACAAATTACATATTGTGCACACCCACCTCATTTGACAATGCGACAAATTACTGGTAATATTGTTCATTTCAGTTCATGAGCATGTTTCTGTTTAGAAGTATCCACATCACAATACTGTTCATGATTTAATAAATAATTTTTTCATGACTAACTCGGTTCACAATTTACCCAAGAACAAGCAGTCCATGATAAAAACAGATGGAAATTACCATAGGAGACTAGTATCAATGAACTGCATGTATTCTGTAGAATACAATTTGTACTCCTATAAAATTAATTTACATTCATGATACAAAACAAAGTGATTATAAGAAGAGGTGGGTGTTTCGTAAGTGGTTTTGAAGATTCATAAATAAGCACAAACGAGATATTTTAAATAAAAGTGACGCATTGTATTTATCAGGTTACATTGACCTTCAAATTTTTTTGGAAAGATTCTTCCGGGAATATCAAAGCAACGCCATCTAAAAACAAATTGGCATGCGAGTTGCACCTCCACGAAAGGATATCATACGATCGATCTTCAACAGTACAGATACGTTAGGGTGCCTAATCTTCTGAGCCATTTTCAAATTTATTGCTCAGGAGAAGGTGGAAGAGGAAAAAGATTTAAGGTAAGTTCCCGTGAATCCTTTATACAAGATAAATTTTATTCGAATGTGTGATGTGTGGTCTGGTGATCCCAAAGAAAATAGATATTAATGAAGAACTTAATATTCACAAGGTAAATGAACTTCAGCACACTACCTTGAACATGACCACAGTTACTGCACGAGAAGATTTACCACTTATTGTGGCAATAATAACTATGCAAGTTAAGTTACCTCCTTTATGGCAAAGTGGAGTCTCATTGCAGGTTGCACATGTGGAATAACAGTTCACATCAAATACTATGAAATACCATTGTTATGGCACATCTCAAAATTCAAGAAGCAATTGAAACGGAAGATATAATAATGTTTCCTTATACAACAACCTTTAAACTTTAAAAGAGGCAGTAACTAACCACATGCCTGCTGTGTTGTGAATGGGACACATTTCCCTGCTGAATTTATTGACCTTAGTCCAATCTCCCCAACATGGACCCAGTTCAGAAGCACTTCTTATAATTACTTATAGTAATTTTATTGTTACTATTTAGCTGTATCATACATTATAGCTAATCAAAGCTCCTGTGGCAATGCTAGACCTCAACCAAGATTTAAATTTCAGGAAGTAATTGAACTTTAAGTAAAACTCGTCCTTTCAACTCAGCCCAGAAACTTAACTACCACTATGTAGCAAGACACTGCTGAGTGAATATTTAAAAATAGGCACTAACATCTTCCGCAAATGCCTGCAGTCAGCTGTTTACTAAAGCTGAAAATTTAGCAGACATCTATTCAAATGACAATATATTTTCTTTGCCTTCTGGTAAAAAGTTAAAGAGGTTTTCTTCTAATATTACCCCAAGAGTTAATGTCTTTTCAGATATTACCAGACCAGGACACAAGAGAGATGACCAAAGTAGATTCTATGGCTCATAAGAATGTACAAGTGTCAGCAGACTATCAATGTCCAGCCAGTCATCAGAACATGATCTTCCAATTTGATTATGTTAATTCACAATTTTGAGGACACTAATTCTATTGAGAATGAGATACACACATTTTATTATGATTCAAGAGTAATACAAAATTGCTGGAATTGGTTGCAATTAGCAGCTCCTAAAAGTCTATTTTTTAGTGCCTAATCACTGAATGTCTAGTCATAAGCCTCATTCTGGTGAACCCAGAAATTAATGTTGAAGTGAATGGTTTTCTGTCAGAAACAAATAAAAGGGTGTAAGGTGGCAGAAGCAGCCGGCATTTCAACCAACAAAAAGACCTTCACTATTTACATCACATGTGGAAATACTTTTGTGAAAGGCGTGTTTGTTTGTCACAGTGAAGTGGAATTTACTGTAAACATCAGTCTACTATTTGGAAAACAATCTAAACCATCTTGCAGGAACATAAATCCTTGATTTTATTACCTAATAGATATTGAAAATGCAATTCCAGCAGCTCAAAACTCCTAAGTCAGAAACAGTTCTGACAACAGGCAGATTTTGGAAGGTATCCTCTTCGGAAGATACCTTGTGGCAACAAGAGAAAAAATGTCCTGGAATGGTAAGAAAATCTCTTCCATAATGACAGATCAGTGAATTCTAGTTATATTGCTTCAGACAAATTTCCTCAATTAAAGTTTGAAACTTCTCCCGATTTCTTCACTTTGATACTATGAGGACAATCTTCTCAAATGTCAAAAATGTTAGTTTCACTAGATTCAGTTTATGTACAAGTATTACTCATTATCACTAATAATACTATACTGGGTATAATAAATTGACAATTGGGCAATTGTGAAGCTAATGTTCAATACTTGAGGTCGGATCAGAACATTTGCAGAGCATCAACTCGTTGAGAAACTGTCAGAAATGCCACTCTGAATAATAATAATAAAATTGAGAAAATGTTTTTTCAGTTCACTAGCAAGTGCTAGAAGACTAGTAGCAAAATTAAGAACCTTGAAAAATAATAAAAAGGCTGGGAATTCAATATGCACTTCTAATTAATGTTTATCATTTAAAAAGAGTCTTATTCTAACGACCTAAGCATCAAAATAGCCATAAACCTAACTTAACAAACAACAGGTTGAAAGTAGACTCCTGGGAAATCCCGGAAACCACTCCTATAAGCCATAAATTTACAAGATGGCCCATATTTACATATACAATTTTTCACTGACAAGAAGTACACAAAAATGTTTTGGGTAACTGTCCTAAACACAGCAATCATTAGAACAAACCAAAGAAATGCGAAAATTACCTCTTTGCACTGTGTGTGTGATGTGCATTTGTATTCTACAACAAATACAATGAGATGACCGGATAGTAGTTGAATGTGTATGAAGCTGCATATTTATACAAGAAATTAGACACTGCTGAGAATAATGAAGGACAGTTACAGCAATATCATCCTCATTTAATAAATACTCATAACAATGATGATTCAGTCAGATGTCACACACAGTCCACAAACTTGTGGAAGGAAAATTCAGATTTGAACAGATGTAAAATGTCAAGCTGTGGGAAGTGTTAACAGACCCAATTGTGTGTAGAGGGATGAAAACTTACATGACATATCGGAGTGAGAGAACACTGAACAAAACATTCTTGCAACCCCAGATTGACTTCATGAGCCTCTGGTGACGCCAGATCATTCTCCCAATTTGAAACTGCCAGCCTTATTATTTTTAGTCTACAAAAACCAAAAATTCTTAGTCTTCTGAATATCAACACAGAATTCACAATGTGGCTGAACTTCAGGCAGCTGTCATCCATCTCCAGCTTTATTCAGCTGCATCTGACAATGTCGCTCTTTGACTCCTCTGTAGATTTGGATAGAGCATTGGAAGGACTCCATCGATAACAGACAAAGCTTATGACTCAAAGTTGAGGCGTTTGTATTCGTGATGTTAATAAAATTATTAGCTTCTTTACATTGTCTGTAAAGCATTGTATATGTAATTGAGCTTGAGATTAATCCAAAAACATAAGTACAGCGAGTTATATATGAAACTCCCCAGATGCACAACACCTACAACTGCAGATTCCTTGTGACAATTGTTCTTTCACTATGAAATAGGTTTTGTGCACTTTCGATTTAAATTCCTGAACAAGTACACACATTACAACGGAAATAATTTATTCTTAAAAAATATAATTTATAGTCTAGTAAATTACATTAACAAATATCAACAGGAATGGTTCCAACATATTAATATGGAACCAAATAAAACTATATAAGAGAGCTACCTTTGGTAAACGTAAGGGCTAGAGATGTAGGTAGACCTAGAATAATGTGGTCAGCGCAGTGCTGAGTTTCGGTATGGACAATTGGCTCAGAACCCTTGTCAAGGAAGAAGAAAAATATAATCTACTTTTACTGTTATGATGCTCACTGCCGTAGCAAGGTTAGTGCGAGGGAGAGTCAAACACAAACTGGAATTTTGGTTTTAAGTGCTGCGAGATGAAAGGAAAAGGATGTGCCTTCTGGGTAGTGTTGGTTGAGATTCCAGGAAACAACTTGTGTGCTAATCAGGCTGACAATGAAACTGCGTCAGTCACAATTGCAATATCAACACAAGAGGTACCCACCATCTGTCGCGCAACAATTACAATAAAATTCCTGACTACAGAGGGTGTAAAATCGTCCAATATTGTAAGACACCTGATGGCACAGATCAGAAACAACATGCAGAAAACGCAAGTGTCTGCATGGTACAAAGAATTTGTAAAAGGATGAGAAACAACTGGCAATATGACTCCCTCAATGGCACTCAAAGGCCTGTTAGACAGAAGCCAATTTCCCCCATTTCCAGCTTTCTCAATGACAATCACCGAACTCGCTGAAATTGCTTTTGAACTCAGTATAATCTATGGAAGAGCTTATTTCATTATTACAGAAACTCTGGGGTTTCAAAAAGTGCTCACAAGATGGGTGCACCATTACACCTTGGAATCGAAACATCCAGCATGGAGACGAATGAATCTGCACCTGTGAAAACCAATGCTCTACTCTGTAGGAAAGATCATGACAGTCTTTTTTGAATTCAAAGGGGTTGTTCACACTGATTAAGGATGAAATTATTGAATGATCAATTATTCTATGAACATCGCACTGTGAATGCTGCATACCACTGCCAACTTCCTGATGAAGCAAAATGAGCATATTGTTAAAAATGACACTATTTCCAATCCGAATTGTGATCGTGCTTCACAACAATGCTCAGCCAAATACTGCAGCAATAACTCTACAACTTACAGTATTGTCCTGGTGTACACTAGAAAATCCACCCTAGAGTCTAAACATACAACTTCATTTGTTCAAACCTCTGAAAAAAGCACTTTGAGGTCAGAAATTTGAAGATTGTTTCTGTGACAGAGTTCATGCACAAATGGCTGGTGTTCCAACCATCTTCATTTTATGAGAGTGGGATGAGAGTGGGATAAATAAAACTACCAATCCGCTGGGAAAACTTGTTTCTAAGTCAGGGGACTATATAGAAAAAGAAACTTGTTTATTTTCACGTTTTTGAAGGATCAATTAATTTAAATTATAACATTCTGGTTTGTAGTTGATTTACCCTCACATGTATTGAAGGAAGAAACCAATGCAATCGTCACTAGTTTCTATTAAAATGTACATGGAATAGCTGATTACAAGCGTCAACCCTATTCTTATTTTAATCCAACAACAATTTCAAGTTGCGATTAGCTTAGGCTGTGTGGTCATGCACTTCCACTACCCTTATAATGACCTCCACAAAATATAAATTTGAGAGTCCTAAGCAACAACTTGGTATAGTTCAAGTAAATTATCGTTGATTTTAGAGAACAAGTTAACAAATTAATTGAAGGAGTTATCAACATCATACCTTACTTTATTTATGGAAGAAACCAACAACATTCAAGAATTCAAATCCACTAACACTTCAGAAAACTTTATCTTCCCAACAAATTGAGGAAGTTCAATAGGCAGTTTCTGTACAAGCAACATCTTTATTACCTTCACTGCAAAACTGGACTACAGATTTGAATAATATCGACTCTACTTTTCTCATGCATTTGATAAATTATTGGATGTTTCTTTACAAATTTGCACATTTAGCAGAAAAGGAGTTTCTCCGCTAGATACAATTCTTTCTTGATGAGAATTGGAGAAAATCAATGACCTCCCCAAGAAGAATTCACAGCAGTTCACCAGAGGTCACAACTGGTCCAATCTTTTGTATTCTGTGTCCAAGAGATCTGCCCAACGCTGAGTTTTCTTAGTAGGAAGACTTAAGACAACACCCCTACGACCCTGGCGAGTCACCACCCAAAATGGTAGATTCAATTAATGAATGGTCAAGAGTTTACATGTTACATTTTAAACTTATGGTCACGCATATTGGAAGATTTAACACATCTTACCATATGGACAGAAGGAATGCAGTTGAAACGGTCGTTTTTAAGGATCTAGACATCAAAATCTTCTATCATTTCAAATGGGACATCAAGTTACATTTCAAAGAGGAATAACAAGGCCAAATTCTCACTGGAGAAAGCCTTTGACTCAATAAAATGTGATGAATTAACCGTGCTTTATATGTGTTTTCCCAATAGTTAAATTGGTCTCAGCCATTTGGCCTTGAAATGAAAACTTGTTAGCAAAAATACATAGAGACACACGCATACCTATGGATCTCAAAACGATTCGCAAGTAACGACTAACGGGACTTCAACTTCCTAGCACTTACAGCTAGGAAAATGTGGCAACATGCATGAAGCCTTCAAGATCCATAATGAGCATTACAAATTCCTATGCTTTTCAACATCCTCGAAGTCACAAGTACATGGCCTGCACACTTCTTTAATACAATACAATGACTTCTTTGGTAAAAGTTGTCAACACATTACCTCATACATAGTAGTTGTCTTTAGTCTCGAAGCATCAAAACTAGTATGAGACTAAAGCAACAAAGAACATTGACTCGATTAATTTGCTAACTTAGATATTAAATTACAATATGTGATAGTATGCAAATTACTTGTAGTATTGAATTATGTATACACATATTAATTGTTTCTACTTGGTGATCCAGGAAACGATGTGTCTTAGGAACAGATGCCAAAAATTTAGCCGTCATGATGCAATCTTCCTCAGGGCATTGGCACCTGTGCCTTGGGACGCACTATATCCTGGGCAGCCAAGCAGATTCTGACTGATCATAGATGCCTACACTTTCTCATGGTAATTTTATGTATTATGGTAGTGCTCTTTCACATTATATCAAATATATTTTGTTGTGTGTTAATTATTTTAAATAGTTTTACAGTAATTTCTCTCGCAAATCAGCATACAAAATGACATATCAATTGGAAATGAATCAAAACTATTTTAACATAACCTCCCTTTAAATTACGTTTGTAATACACTTGGACATTGCATTGCACATTATACAAACACTAATTTACAGAATTAAACTGATCAATGTGATTGATTACTTTTTCAGAAGCCTCTTTTATTCTAATTTTGATTCTTATTCATAACAGGCAGGGGCAAGATAAGAAAGAAGAATGAAGCAATAAACATAAGATGATCAAATTTAGTACATTTTATGCCAAGCAGACATTTAAAACATTGTTTCAGAAGAAGAGCAGCCAAGTAACTGTTTAGGGATCAGTCTCAATCTGGGAAAAGATTATGAACTTCAAGCTTTGAAGCTGTATCATAACATCTTCATGTTAAAGCATTCAACTTCACAAACATAACAAAGGGGAACATTACTTACACTCACTAGGTCTTTTCTATTATGCACTACATTCTAATTTTTACTATGATGCAAATTAAATTAGAACATAACTACTATTCAGTGCATAACATGTCACACACAAATCAATTAACCTACCTGCATGATTATCGCAAAACAAAATTTAGCTTGCAACAATAATTCATTTCATTCGCACACAGCAATGGGAGCTTTCTAGGTGAGAAGGGAAGCGCTGATGCTGCACTGAAGCTTTGCGGTGGGAGGGGAGGGGAAGTATTTTGTTATTGAACTCAAGCCTTCACACCATGTACTTAGAAAATTAACAGCACAAATTCTCAAAATTACGTTTGTTCCAGGGTGAGTCCAAAATCACAGAACTAAGCTATCCTAAGAATGATGCTGTTCTAATAAAAAACTTCTGTACAAATGTTTCATCTTCAATTACCAAATGGGAAAAAAGCTGTTGAAACTGATAACTAAGCCAGTAAAGAGATTAGACACAGCATACTAAACACAAATGTAAACAGTTCAGTTCACCAGCTTTTAAGTCAAACATTAAAATAAAAGAGGATTGAATTTGAAGTCTCATCCATACCATTTTCAAAAAAGAGCAGAATATAAAACTGTCACATTCAGCCATTACACAGAAAATAATTTGATTAACTATGCAGGTCACAAACCCAAAATATAAATTCAAATAACGAAGTTATATAAAACCAAAAAATTCAGTTACATATAACTATTTTCAAAAGCAGGTTAAATAATCCTCTAAAGGGAAGAGAGCAGGATATCATAACTGAAGCATGAAAATGTATGTAATCAGCAATGTAACAAAGTAATACGGAATGTTTACCAAGAAATTATTTAGTAATAATAATAATAATAATTAAGTAAGACAAATGTATAATAATATTATTAACTGACTCAGTTTGTTCTCTTAATTTGTTTCAATTTCCTTTATCATGACATTTATAATTTTTCTGTTTAAATTCACAATATTATACTATAATAGGAAGGCTGAATAAACCCAATTCATTAAATTCAGGCATAAGAGATTCGTATGTCAGAGAAACCATTCTATTGACTCCCACTGTCAATTATACCTTCTGAATTGTTCACTTTCCTTTAAAAAAAAATAAAAAAATCCTTCAATACGAAACTTGAAGCATATTTAAAAATGTAATGAAAAGTAAGGTAAGGAAAAACTATGAAAGAAAAATCTTCAGTACTTCCCAAAAATATTCCTAGTCAAAACACAAAAGGGAACTAAATTATGATTTTTCAAAGAACTCTACAAAAAAAACAATCTGAATCAGAATAATTCTCATCGATCATTGTCACATATTTTACAACCTGTAGCCTTTCCTCCTGTCTTGATCACACTCAAATACAACTGATGGGTCAATTTATGTAGGATAGAAAAGAAAACATGGAAAAATATGTTTTAATACAAAATTGTGTACTTTAGGTAAATAAAACTTACAAAGTCAAAGACAAAAATAAAGAAATTAAAGTACAATGAAGTTTGAATGATTGCACCATACAGTTGTGTAAATTTGGTACAACGTAGATTCTAAACATGAATATTAAGTATCTGAGTATAATATCTTACTTCAGATTATCTTGAAAATGTTTCACAACGTCATCAAGATTTCATCCAACTCTGGCACTGAAATGACATATCCTTTAAGAGATGAATCTTCAGCTGATTCTTCAATAACCTTTGCTGTGATATATCTCATTGTATTTAAATAATGACGAACAGCACGTGAAATATCTTCTTGCCTTGAATGAGTCACTGAAACACATTGAACACACGCATGCAACATGTTAAACAGGAAATAAGAACAGAAATTCTGACAATATGAAGAAGAAGAAAGAAGAAAAAATAGTGCCTTCTAGTAGTGGTTGTGTATGTAGTAATCCAGTAGTATACAGGGAGAGTCAGTCCTCATTGCTAATGTAAGATCCACCGATAGAGTACAAGTAATTTAAGAGTGCAACAGTAAATAGTGTAAACCCTATTAAAAATTGTAGAGAGAGAAAAAAATGTCTCTCTCTCTCTCTCTCCCCCCCCGTTTTTATAAGGGTTGTCCATTTTATGACACTTGTGATATTTGTATTTCCATTCTGAAATTAGTGAATAATTAAAGTCGAGTAAAAAAAAAAAGATGACTACATTATAATTAAAAAACCATTTACATGTAATGCATTTATGGAAAAAAATCACCAATAAATTACACCAAAACATTAAACATTCTTCATTGACAGCTTCTGAGCTCCTCTTGCTTCTTGTTTGACCTATTCATCTAATGTTAGATGTTTTGTGGTTGCCATGTAGTTAAACTTGTTATGAAACCTTTAACAATACACACCACCTCACTGCGAATAACTACATTCGGCTTGCTAACTTTTTAAACGCACAATACGCCTCTGACCGAGGGATTACAATTTTCCATATAGGGCAGGGAAAGGCAGGAATTGAAACCTTCCCAAACTCATAGTGGGAGGGAGGAACCCTACAGCCTTTGAGCCACATGATCCGAAGGTCAAATTCTACTCTGTCGGCTGAAGCCCTTTACCTTCACAGGGCGGTTGCCACAATACCATATAACGACATGGGCCAGAGGAATTTTCCAGTTAATGCTTCCAGCAAGTTTCCAGCTTGTACATGTTCCAGTTTAGACAGATTTTACAGAAGTATTTGGCTGTATCAAAAAGAAAAAGAAAAGAATGGGGAAAAAACAAAAACAAACCAAAATTCAATGGCTTAAGGGAAAAAGGTTAATTTTTGAAGCAAAAACAACGGACACCAATAACACTGTTTGAAAATAAGTTTAGGGGTGACAAGCCCAATAAACAACTCATTTTTTGGCCTTTTTTTGTTACATTATAGAAAATAATGAATAAATATTATTTAATGGTATTTTTATTCAGGGAATTTTGGCTGTGGCGGTGCCCACAGCATCCTACAACAATTTTATGTTCATCAAACAATACTTGTATGACTCCACAATTGTCACAATTTCACGTTAAACCATACAAAGAGAGACTTTTCAAATGACATGACTAAATTTTTAACCAAAATAATTTTAATTGTGTTAAGATTAAAGCTTGAAATCTTTACTTTAAGAACCTTGCTTTGACCAATTAAAATATCTCATTGCAATCGACTAAACTTCGCATCACTGCTAATGACCCACATTTGAGCCGCACAGCTGTGTCTGATTTCTTTATTCACTGTTAAGCTGGATTCAATATATTTGTGGAGACATCAAATGGGTTTGGAAGCTACTTGACTAAAGAACACTATATGACATTTGGAAGGCCCACGAGATATTTTTTCTCTTTGTTTTGGTGCATGCAACAATACCCATGTCATCACACCTGCCGGCTCGTCTCACGCGCCGCTGAAGAAAGAAGACTGGCTTGAGTTCAGTTCACACACTGAATAACTGAAGAATTAGTAAACATTTACACTGATAAGAAGAAAATGATGACCATAATTACTTTTCACAATTCAGCTAAGCTCTCAACAACATGGTTGTTATAAACTCGAAAATCCGGATGTGAGCAAAAAGTTACTGTACAAATATAAAAAAATACATACCTTCTGTTTTGATTTTGCAATGCACTCCAACAGCAGGCACAACAGTAAAGTCTTTCGAATACTTTCTAATATTCTCATGGGTCAAATACACCATAACTCCAGTATCAAAAAGATAAAGTGCCAGAGGGTTTCCACCAGAAAAACACAAGGCACGACTCCAATTATCTATACAAGGAGTCAATTATATGACAAAACGATTAAAAGTAAATTAACAATGAAGTTACTCATCAAGAAAATTATATTTAATAGGAAATAAAAGTAATGTACTTACTTTCAACTTTTGCAACGCAAAGCTCCATCTCCCTTGGTGTGTAAGGGCCTACATTTTCACAGTACTCATTAATTATATCTTGAAGATCATTTTGGAGAACCTGTATTGTTTGACTGTTTTTAGGCCTGGCAATAATTTCATAATCTTGATTCATAACTTTAATTATGGCCAATTCCAAAAGAGAATTACATTCCAATTTTTCTATAGTGACATCATTAATTGTGTATATTTTCTTATCTGTTATCCCTTTCTTCCATCCTGGCATTAGCATTTTATTTATTTTTTCATTTAAATTAGTTCCATCTTTTAAGGAAAGGGAAACCTTGTTACCTTCTGATATTTTTACTTTCAATGGTGTATTACCCAAAATAAGATCCTTGAAAAGTTTCTGCACTTCTTCATTCAACGGTCTATCAACCACATTTTCTAAAACCACTTTTACTACACAGCATTCTACACTGCGAAGAGTATTGTTAAGAGGCTTTAATGCCTCTTGATTTACAAACTCAACATTACCAAAGTCAATATATTGTACTTTCACTCCTTTGGATTTATTAACTTCACGAACTATAGCTCGATAAAAGTTACCATCTTCAGTAAATCGAGCTGCCAAGACTTGTCCTATTTTTGGTGTATACTTTAAGGGTGCTGATTTAAAACAATATTTTGCGACGTCCTGTAATAACCTATTATAAGTGTCAATACACTGACTTGAGAGTGGTCGAATGTATAATTCAAATGGAGACATTTCAGCCGATATAACACAATCTCCGTTCTTTAATTCAACACATTTTAGTTCTTCATACAATTCATAAGGGACTTCCCACTTCTTAATTTGTATTTTACATTCTTCTCCACTCAACACAGCAATAGCTGAGTCAGAAGAACAACTTTCAATGACTAACCCAATAAGTTTAGGCACATCTAGAGATTTGTTTTCTTCCAAGATAACACATTCAACAGCAAATTGAACAATCTCCCTACACTTCAGAGGCAATTTTTTTACTTCTTTCACAGTTTCAACCAGACCCAAATCACAACTAGCAACAGTGAATTCATTTTTATTAGATACATGCAAAATATAGGCTCGAAGCCAACCTTCTTCAGAAAACTTTGCGATAACAGCTTCCCCAATTTTGGGGAAAACACTAATCACAGGTAAACGTTCACATTCCTCTTGAAACTCTTGACTAAACAAATCATTATAATGATGTTTCATATCTACAGGAACTAAACATGCCAAAAATTCAGCATTATTACATTCAGTTACACAGAGAGTGCATTTCATGCCCTTTTTTAACAGAACCGTAGTGTTCTGCAAAGCTAAGGGAGTCTCTTCTTCATCAGTTGGAACCCCACTATTATGCTCATATACTTCCCCCTCCACATGCACAATAACAATTCCATCTTTGTTTTGATGGACACGTTTAACACTCAGATCTTCATTTTCCTTCAGCATCTGATACTTCTGAGATGTTCCAGGTGCTAACTTGATCTGCACAGCCTGTGCAGGCATTTTTTTAACAGCATCAGGAAGGATTTTTATTTCTTCCGAAGTAACGGTTTCTTCATTACCAAAATCAATGAAGAACACTTTTAATGTCGGATGCACAGAAGTAATTTTTGCTCTGAACCTGAAATTTAAGAAAAAAAGCATGTGAAAGCGAATATGAAATGAAAGAATTCCAGAAATATGTATAAACAGTACAACAAATACTTTATGGAAACTAATAAAATCAATAAAAAAGTTATGATGGGCAGATCTATATCAATGGACATCACTAAACTAGGCAGTGAGGCTATTGTAGTAAAGAATTTTTCTTTTGCTCCAAGTAGGATAAAATCCCATAGATTGTTTTGGATTTACATTGATTTAAATATGCTAATGAAATGTATCTCAAAACTACAATCCTTCAAATACACAAGAAAATAATGTACAAGCCTCAATACATCACAGTCTTAAGAATTTCAATTTAGTATATTAAAATAGTTTATTTCAGAAATATGTTAAAAATCTAAATAACAATGTTCACTGTACAATAAATACCGGTATATTGTTCCACAAGGATAGATACATCATTTAGTGCACATTTGCATTAAAAATTATTTTTTATCAACTGCTTTAATATTAAAAATATTTTAAAATAAGAAAAACTGGGACACTTTCACTCAGTTTATTTGAAATAAGAAATTTGGCATTTGATGGGTTTCTGAAGTAAACTATTCAATTTTCTATTGTCTTGGAAATACAAAAAATCCAGAAATATGATGAAACAAGAGCAGATGAAATATTTTGAGTTGAGGTTGGTATTTTGAATGAAGATATAATTAAAGGTGCATTTGCAATTCGGTTATTTGTTCTCTGATGAATACTTTTTTCCCCTTTGAAGTAGGTTAGGCACTTCTGTACTGTGAGAGTAATCACATTATTTTTGTTTATTTCAGTTTCTACATAACTTTTCATATAAAGTTTTGATATTTTCACGAAGATTGATGATGTTTAGAGATTAATGGATAAAAGGACATATAGTCCTTACATACAAAATTTATTGGCACATTGACTAGTAAATAGAAACTTACAATAATTATGTAACAAACTATCAAATTACTATACAACCCAAATTCTAAAAATAAATTCTTTAAACTACTATTTTGACTACTACTTGAGACTATGATGTACTGAATAAATCAATTGTCAAAAGAAGCTCATTTTTGACTTTGGATGAATTAACAAATATGAGAGATTGTAAGGTATGGTCTCTAAAGTAGTTAACCTCCACATTGCCTATTATAAGTTTTACAAGAAAAATTGAATCGACAAGAGTCTCAGGCATCCAAGTGATGGCACATTCTACACACAAATCATAAGTTTTGTGATCCAGTAACCAAGATCGTTATGGCAGTAGTGACCTAGCAATCTTGGACTGAAGGATCGCGGGTTAGAGTCCGGCCTGTGGCATGGTTGTATTTGTGTTTGTACCCCTCACCTTTCGAGTAACTGGTAAACCAATGCTTAAGAGAGCATTTCAGTTTTTTAATAAGAATATTATGAATGACTGAATCGAAGACCCTATGAAAGTCAGTGTACATGCAATCTACTTAATGTGTCTCACTGAAGGTATTCACAATGAGATCAGTATACAAAACTAAATTTGCCTTTATTGAACTGACATTTATAAAACCAAATTGTCACAATAAGATTTTTTAAATTTTACAATAGGATTTTTTTGGGAATAGAGATTGGGTCAAAATATCATTTCTATTGCCTGATTCATGGGCAGGGATTATAAATGAAGATTTCCATTAAATTGGCAGAAGTCCCTCTTCAAACAATTTTTGAAATATGTACTTAAATATCTGTGACATAAAATTGCAGTGTTTTGACTAGTGATGTATGTCTACACACGAAGAACCACAGTCCACGTCTACATGTGAAGAACACGTAGACAAAGGTAATCTATGTAGACAATGCTAATCAATATCTTTTATGGAACAGGGAGACAGGCTCAGCCCCCAAAGCTAACATTTATTCATAATTAAATAGTAATAAATTGAAACAATTATTAAACTCGATTTATCGTAAGTGATACTACATATTGATTTGATGGGATCACAACCAGATGGGAGTTCTATCATTATGAATAAACATTTTTTCAATTTCAAGTTAACATTGTTTTATGTCAAAAATATTTATGGGCACATGGGACAGTCATGACTGAAATTGCATTCCTACCCGGTGAAACATTTAACATATCTGTCGCAGTTGCGTGTGGGGGGAGGGAAGAAGTTGGCGACATAATTAGATATTTGCACATTGAGTTGGTGAAACTGCACTTGGAGGGAAAGAGTCAGATGCAGAGTGGTTTAATGTGCAAGTTGAAACAAGTTCCTACTGGTTTCTTGAGATGGTTACAGAGGTTGACATTTCTTTACCAGATGGATGAATGACCTTACTAAGTGGTATATTTTGACTTATTGAATCGAAAATAAAATGTTTAATAATACATTTCACCATGAACTACTAATACTCATTATAAACTTTTTTGGGTTATTTGATGTGGAAAAATAAATAGTCTACACAGTTTACGTAGATGTAAAATTGTAGTCTGCGGCACAACTCGTGGAAGAATGCCGCCAGGACTTTTGTCTGTATTCAAACTTTCAATCTTTTTACAGATATCAATAACCAAAATGTCAACGTTGTTCTAGTTCAAGAGACTGTGATTAAGTATCTGGAAATTATAGTTGTTATTGGATTGTTTGTAGAAAATTGAAAAATATGTTGAAAATGAATACAACATATCTTTGGGGGTCCACAATTGACTGATCGGCACACACATTTCCAATCCAAAACCCATTGTACCGGACAGTTCTTAGTCATTCTTTTTTGAATTTACATATTTCCAGAAATGTTTTCGACTTTATGATGTTCTCGTAGGTTTACAATTAAACTTTACCTAGTCGTGCTTGGCAAGACTTTTCAATTACACAAAAGACAAACGAACTGATGATAACCGAGCTGAATTTCTTGTCATAATAATCGGCAATTTTTTTATAATTCAATACAGATTTCAGTTAAACTGAATACCAAGAAGGGTAACTGATGGTTCTACAAATCTTCTTTGGAACAAAAAAGTGCAAGACTTTCAGTTATACTTGAATCAGGAATTTTCAGGAATCTTAGTGAAGACGTCTGCTAAGAAACATAATAATCCAACATAATCAGCAGAAGAAGTCATAGAACATTTACATCAGAATTAACAGTTAAAAGTTCTAAAGATAATGGAGAATGATATAAATCTACTGGTTGAATTGATTTTAGCACTTTCAAAACAACAAAGTCGTCAATGTTGGAGAAAACTAAATCAAGATAATCATCATATTCGTTCGATATACAATTGATTTGTTTAAGGTTTAAATAAACCAGTGTATGAGATATACTGACACCATCTCTCATGCGTAAAGTACTTTTTAGTGACCCAACAGGTGTGCTTGAATATCCTGTGTTTTCCCACAATGCTTTTAGAAAATTGTCACAAAAAAGGCAAAGTTGGGTAATAGTATATATCCAAATCTTCCAAATGTTTGGCAATGTGAACTTATTGTATTAACCTGGGTTTGTGAGGGAAAAGTATAGTACACAAATAATCATGATAATATTTTTACCAAATAAATAAATAGTATTTAACATCTGTACACGATTCCAATAAAATCCCGTGGAATTGTTTTTTAGCTGCAATAAAAACTCTGCCACCTCTGCTTAATTCACTGTTTTGATTATTCCTATCTCTTCAATAAATAAAAAGGTTTTCTAATTTGAATCCAGCACTTGATATCACCAGACAGACTCAGGTTTCTGTCAAAATAACTATATCTGATGACATCGTGAATGTTGAAGGATTATTACACAATAAATGAAAAAAACTGAATAAATTAGATTTTTTGAATTAAATAAAATACACTGGAAAGAAAAATTCCCATTTCATATCCAAAAATAATTTAACTCACCACATGTCTTGATATCTTGCCATGCAATATGCCCCCAACTGCACTGGAGCTCTTTCAGTCAAAGCACTCTCCATTGCATTTGACATGGAAGCTATAGCACACATGTTCGAGGACAATACAACCCAGTACTGATCAGAATCTACCACTACTTGTATAGATACCTAGGAAGAAAGAAAAATAACCTTCCATTACAAAAAGCACACAATATGGACCTTACATAAATCAGTTTCTATTTGATACAACATAGCTAAGGAATGCAAAACAAACATACATTACAATCAATGGACTATTAACTTACATCTATATAACATCACAAAAAGGAGTTTACTCAAAGGCAGACAGGAAGGACTAAGTAACGCGGGAAGGTCTGGGTGAGAGAAGCAGGCAGAATATGCCCAAACGATTCAAGGTGAGAGAAGCATGTAGAGTAAGCAAAGCAGACCACATGCCAGTGGAATGAAGGATAATCAATTATTTAATCACAAAAACAATCTTACTCACATTTGTGAAGGTGTCTGGCAACAGTTCATTTTCTTCAAAAATCTCAGGAGCAATTCTTTTTGGACTCTCTTTAATAGGATTAGTCTGGTTTGCAGCTTTTTGCCTATTATCTTTTGGGGGTGATGCTTGCCCCTTAGTAAACCCGCTACTTTCCGTTTTTGAACTACAGGGCGCAGGAAAATTTATATCATGCGATTTTTCTGAAGATGCATTTTTATTATAATTGTCTTTGGGATTCCTAGTTTGATTTCCATCAAATTTGCCATTCCTATTATAGTATTTATTCTCTGGTCCTTTCTTTGTGAATTTTGGTTTATTAGAATCAGTGAGCAAGTGTTTGTCATTGCATGAATTATTTTCCTTTTCAAAGGAACATTCCGATTCATCACTACCATTTCGAGATGAATTCATATTTCCTTTTTTGTTAGACTTTTCTACCTTTGTTATTATTGCATCCTTATTCTGAGGACTTCTCTGTCTTTCATCAGAGCAGGCACCATGTTCTTTGGTATAATATTCATCTTTCCTTTTGGAATATCTGGTGTCTGAAGTTATTGTCTCCACTGACTGAGGGGTGTAGCCATTATTTTGCTGAGAAAAATTGAAGTCTCTCCCTCCTTTCACTTTCCCCTTTCTTGGGGGTGAGATTTGATTTGCATTTGCTCCATTTGCAGAATCATGTTGATTTTTTCTTGAGGGCCTGAAAGTATGAGGGCCATGTATAAGATTATGCTGTAAAACATTAAACCCATTTTCATCTACTGTAAACTCTCAAATTTTAAATTCTTATTAATAGGGGACAGATTTTGGTGGCCTTAACATCGCCAAAAATTATCAATAAAATGCTCTAAAAATGTTTTTAAAATGTCCTAAAAGCACAGAAAAATGATATAAAAAATGCAATCAAATCCAGTTCAGCATGCAACCAAAATCAGAACCAGCTGTTGGACATGTTATTCATGTAACTGAGGCTTCTTCCTTTTGTTCACACGCACTCAGCCTGTCAATGTTTGCTTTGGACTGTTCTCTACCAGGAAATATCAGTCCTTATTTATCACAAAATCGTCCAAAGCAATAATGGCAGTGATAGGCGTCACAGGAACCTTAGATTAAGTAGTTTTCACAATGGCTGGCATTACAATATATGAGCAAATTTGCCCCCTTTTTATTAACAGAACCTTCTAAATGACCAAAATTGTTATGGCCATATTAACCAAACTAACTCCGGAATTCTATTAAGTAGTCTCCCCCCCCCCTCAATACAAAGAACTAGCCTCAATATAAAGTCACTAGCTTGGTTTTCTGTCACCCTAGATTTGCTGCGAAAAAAAAAGCCTCTACAGGATCTCATATTTTTCCACCTAACATTCAAAACACAAATTTTTTGTTCTCTTCTCTACAGTTTGCGGTTGATCCTCGATTGCCATAAGACAATCGCATGACAAAAAATCTGCAATGGTGTCACAGGAGGGAGGGAGGATTCCCCCCACACTACTTGAATTTGTTTAACTGGACAGTTTTTCCCATCAATGTGTCAGTCTCAGTGTAGCCCGTTTGTTAGCCACTCCCACAATAACCTCGGAAGGCAAATAAGTCAACATGCTCTCAATTTATTCGAGTCCTATATTATTATGTCAGAAGATATCAATAACACGAATTTTTCATAATAATGGGTGTATGTTAGTGAACAATTAAAATCTAAAACAAAAGTAAATAAGAGTTATTTTCCACAACTGAATTATTTTGTTTGTAAAATAAAGGTAAACGGTAAACAAAATTACTGGATATATTAATCGTCTCCTATGTAATGACATGTTAAATATTTTCATAAAATCACCTATATAAAGAACTCTCTAATAACAAACTCAAAAGAAATTCCCCTGATATCTGTTAATTTAGTAGTTTACCACATAGGACAAAACCTGAAATGTTACTTGTAACTATGAGAATTTTGTAATCTTTTTAACTTTGTTCTTTGCAATTTCTCATTACATGAAAAAGTTAATTAAAGTTATTTGCACTAGTTACTTAAATCTTGACAAAGAAAAAAAAAAATGTAAAAACCATAGAAACTGGAGGTAATTTTCACAATATTAATAAGACAAACAAACGAAATTACAAAACAAAATCAATTTTAAATAGATATGTAGTATTTAACAATCTACTATGAAAACCTTCACATAATACTTTTGTGGTTTAAGGAGAAAATTCAAAGGTTTCCCCACTGACGTAGGATCTTTCTCTACATTTGAATCAAGATACCTAAAATACTCTTATTTACTCACATTCCACAGTATTGTCGATGTCGAGGCCAATCTTTCTCTTGACAAGTTCTAGAACAATACCAATCATTGCACTGGGCACAATATTGTGTTGAAGGTTCCTTACATAAAGTGCAAGTCCCTTGTTCCCACTTTGGAGGATATTCCTTCTTTGAAAACTCTAATGTTCCCTGAAAACACAATTATTTTTAATACTAAAACTACTGAGTACTGTAATAACTATATTATATATAAAAGATCACATACAACACTGCATGCACATAAACAAACACCTCTGCACATAACCCCCACTGCGTACGTGCGCACACACACCCTCCAACAAAAAGCACTGTGTGTGCGCACTTACATACTGCACCAAAAAACACTGCGTGCGTGCGTGCGTGCATGCATGCATGCATGCACACACCAACAAAAAACATTGCGCACAGGAGTATTAATGAATCAAACATTAGGAGGCATTCTTGAAAAACATTTCCGAAAATTTCCTCGAGGATTAATGTGAGTTCCCCCAATTGTAAAATATCTGCTTCAAATTTGCAGAGCATCGACATCAGACCCTGATTTTTTCTGTTTTTTATATTGAAAAACTAAACTTTTGGAGGTAACATTATAATACTTCCTGTATACTTTAAAAGTAGTATAAAGAGAAAATAAGACATTGAAAGGGCTAAGCAAAGTAGACAGGAATGAAACTGATATATCACACTTCTATGTAAATATGCAATTCATAAACCAAAGAATTTCAACGGTGTATGAACTAATCTAGAGCCAGACCTGCTGATGGTTTTGGTATGGTCTTTTATTTTTATTTATCTCGCTGCTTATTAGCCTCTGCTGGTGAATTCATTAAGAGTCAACGCAAGATTCACAAAAAAACAATTTCAACTAAAATAACAGTACTGGAAAAGAAATAACCTTACATTTCTCCTCTGGAAGTAAGTTTCAATAGATGTCTTTGCTTCATGCAAATTGTCAATGACGTCTTCCAATTTTTTGGGCTGACACAATTTGTCCATTTCCCTGAAACAAAAGCATTTATTTTTTATCTACTAAAAAATTTTGAAGACAGAGAAAGCTGTATTTAACTATTAAACTAGTGGTGCTACAGAAAAGCATTCATTTTTGTTCCATTTCTGCATTCTATTTACTCTAAGCTATATCGGTATTGTCCCACCCTCTTCCCAGCTGTCTTTTCTCTAATTATTTCTCCACCAATTCCTGTTATCCATCTTTGAAAGAAGATCAAGAAGTGCTCTTTTTTTCTGCAAGGGCATTTATTCATTGATTTACAGGTAAGTTGTCTATTTAAAGAACAATACAATAAGATGAAAATGACATAATGTAAAAAAAGGATAATAGCAAATATTCATACTAACCATTAAGCTGAAGTCATCTAATAAATTCTTGTGAACACTTCAAAACCGAACCTTTTTCCCAATACTTTTTGAAAATTTGCCATTGGTATTTTCATTTGGATAATAAATTTGTCTAATTAATACAGTTATTTACATGTTTATAAACTATGCTTACATTTAATAATGATATTTTATTATAATCTTGAGTAAACTTAAGTGATGTTAATATTAACTTCCACAAACAAACTTTAAGAATCGGTGCTGGAGAGACTTAGATTTTTTATATGATTTTGGTGAAAAAGTAACCAAACTAAATTACTCGTATAAAAAAACAAACAAAAACAACCGGTCTAACCAATGTTTGGTTAGCTTTGGACTTTATGATTTCCAGGTGTTCAATAAATTTCAATTTGCTATCAAAAATCACTACGAAATCCCTAAATAAAATTACCCACTCACCAACCTAAACCTAACTCTCCGTTTTAAATAGAACCTACATATTTCACAATAAATACATACATACGGAAATATGTATATATATACAAATAATAAACTTGAATAATATGCTATTTCATCAAAAATTTGTAATTATCTTACCTATCAAAACAACCTCTCCCCATTACGAACTTTTTTGGGCCACCTGGACCGTTCTCACGCTGCACTCCCTTCAGAATTGCAGTATTTGATTCATCGTAATTACTTCCACCATACTGCTGAAACTGGCGAATATCAGAAGTCTCTCGAGTATTGCCAGGCCTAACAGTTCGAGGATCTTCAAAGGGAGCAACAGCTAGTCCACGCCCTTTGCCACTGTCAGAAAAATTTACTCATTGAAAGACTGAAATTATACGATTACATATGGAACAAGACAACCTACAGAAGAATCCAATTCCAGGTTTAGTGATTCACAAAGATGTTTGTAATTTTTTATTTTAAATATAACAACCAAGGTAATAATAACTGATTTGGCTTAGTAACTTATTTCTTTGGACCAAATTGACAAAATGATCACATTGTGACCAGATGAGTGAAAGAAATTTGAGAAAAGCTTTGTATCATTCGAAAATGGAAATTTAATATAAAATATAGAGAATTAGAAGTTAGATTAGAGTCTAGTACACAACTGATAACAACTCTTGAATTAATTTTGCCATAGAAAATAACAACAAGAAACAAATAGTAAAATGCGGTGATTAGGAGAAAAGATACACAAGAATATGAATATCCGTTTTCTTTCTTTTTGGGAAATAGATATTACTATTATTGTTAATACAAAAATTTGCAGTATCATCCTTCCTAAAATATCCAGTAATATCTTACTGAATAGTGCATTAAATAAATTCACAACTTGTGAATTTCAAGAAATGTTTAAAACATTCGTGAAGTGATTAGTGACAGTGAACAAAGGATGTGTAAAAATTCAAAAAATAAGAAAAGAAAGTGAAGAGGAAAGAGTACCACAGATTTTAGTTGAAGCTCAATAAGAAATATAAGCATGTAAACATATAGCAAACGCCGAATCAAAAAGCATTAGTTATTCTTCATGGAATTCTGATAAGGTTCTAATTGAATGTTGAAAAAAGTTAGCATAAAATGAATATATAAATTGTACTTCATTGAAACAGCACAAAATTGCTTCACAACTCAAAATTCCAACATTCATGCTTTTGAACTTTTGAGATAGTAAAATTTATCGGACAATATGAAAGTGTTTGAGAGTATTTGAAAGAGGCAAATTTTGAAATAAATGCATTATTATTAATTTTACGAAAACATTTTCACATGCTGACAGCAACACAAAACCACATCTAGCAACAACTGAAACTAAAGCAAAACATCAATATGGAAGAGGGTCAAACTCTTCAAATCTCCACTTACAAAAATTTGGTGATGATTCAACCATCACCAAATGGCTTAGTCCTTTCAGTTTTTAAGAAAGAAAATTGAAATCGTACTTAATATTTTTGAAGTTGTTCTACTACAATGAAGTGAAACAAATCAGGGTTCTTCCGAGATTCTCAAATTCCCTGCGATTTTACTAAATTATGTTTTTTTTACAAAAAGAATATATATTATCATTTTGAAATTCAAGGTAAAAATTAAAGGCATAACCCCATTTTTACGTTCCTGCAATTTACGTTTTTCCCGGCAATTACAACATTTCTAGTCGGTCTCACCAGTATTTGTATACTCGTAATGTTATAAATATCCCAAATTTATCATAATAAAATTTCAATTTTTCCACAATTTACAATTGTGCCTTCTGCAAAGCACTTTGAGTTTCAACAACAGGCAATGTGTCTGCACTTCTCCCATCACCTTGCCACTTTAGAACATAAAATGACCAAAGTGCATAGGAAGAAGAATACCAGGTCTGTGCCACACGAGCGTTATGTCAACGCCTTTGCACACAAGTTCCTTAACGCATGTGGTAGATAAACACACTTATGCGAAACAAAACACGAGTGCTCTCGACGACATGCGATATAGCAACACTCCTCTCCTAGTGGGCGTTGAAGCTAGAAAACGTACTTAATCTTGACTTACGTTGTAGTTTGAGCTTCTTGCTCGAGCTGTGGGCACAACACACGTCGCCAAGAGTTCTTATGTGCCGTATGACATAATATAGTTTTAATCCACGACATACATTATGTGACTGCACAGGCATTGGTGCAGCTTCAGCATTCAGCGACACGAGTCAACACAATGCTTATGTGACACAGGCCTAAGAGAGGTCACAATTGTATATTTTACATCCTCCTCCTCCACAATCTCACACTTTCTCATTTTAAAATAAATTTTATTTTTGTGTGATGTGCTATGGGGAGAAGTTCAACTGAAGTTACATTTATGTCCAGAAGCAAGGGGCCATCTCAGCATTTGTACCAGGATCACAGAAACTGGACAAAAACCTGACTGAGATGGGGATCATTGACCTTTCATACACGCCCGCACACACACATCTAGTTTGATTATACATATGCACCCAGGTGCACAATAACCCTGCAAATCCAAATCTTTTATTTTAAATACATTGCTTTTCAAAATCTAAATTTAGTGACTTTTGGTGGTTCAGTTTATTTTATGATATGCAAACTTAAAACATTGCAAATAGAGCATTATATTAAATAATTTACAAATAAATAAGCATAAATAGGGGATAAATAAACAAATAGTTTGTTCCTTTGAAGCAAACAAACACAAGTGAGCAACATGATTTCCTAAAAAAAAGAAAGAATAAGAAGAATTTATGAGCATGTGAGCTAAGAAAAGACCAGCCATAAAGAAGCTATTGAAAAGGATAATCACCCTTCGCATTCAAAGCAATTGGGTAGCAAATCCAAATACCCCCCCCCCTCCAATGGATAGATTTGTACGCATTTTATTAAAACCATCAGTATCACTTCTGTAAAGCACAAGCAAAGGTATAAGCATAACAAGACTGCTACATCCCGACATTTCTCACTTTAAGCAATATTGAAGAGTCTTCCCTGGAAGGTATTTCAAGCACCAGAGGAATAAATTGCACTGAAAAGAACATGCAGAGGTCACAAATTATGAACATATTGTCACTTACAGCGTCATTTCCCAGACAGGGCCTCGATACCTATAAATACACACATTACCAACAAAAATAAGTATACAATTTACCTTTGTAAAACCAATATGTAACAAAATAAATTACTAGTATCATTCCCAATAACACTTCGGTATTTACAAAAAAATTCTTACCTTTACTTTCTCTAATCTAGCAGTAACATAGTCACGTTCATTCACTTATATCAATTCAATATTAGTTTGGAAATAGTAATAAACACATCATGCAGCAATCCAAATAATTTCAACCTCTGAACTTTTAAATATGTTTTAAATAGTTAACAAAAAATTGACGAGAAAATAAAACAGTTCTAGGCAAATTTTTCCAAAATGTAGCATTATTAATTACCTTGGTTTTGAGTTTTCAACAGGTTTTCTAAGAGCCCGATTTTCTGTCACTCCAGACAATTCAAAATTGTCTGTTAGCCTCTTTTTCACAGGCTCATCACGACTTCTAGCATACTCTATTTTCAAGTTCATAGGAGGACGACGATCATATTGCCTTCTTGCTTCTTCAGCTTCCCTGGTAAAAGGAAGATTATTAAAGTGTTGGTAGCTCTTTGATTCAAAACAGCTAACAGCAACTGCAATGTTCATTCTTAGATACTATTTCCAACCCTAAGCAACCAACTATAAGAGCTAAGCTTCTACTTAGTAATTATGCCACTAGAATCTAATATATCATTAGCACAATTATAGTAATTATGTTTGCAATTACAGTGAATTATTTAGATTTATTAATAGTCAATGTAGTGTAATAATGTATGTAATACATAAGCTGCGGATATCTACCTATTTTTTTCCTTTAGTGGAAAACCTAATCTTTTGCGTTACTTATTAATTTTGAGGCATTACGAGCGTTATAAGTGAATTTAATAATGCCTATAAATATGTACTTTGTGTATAAATGCCTCAATGTTGCCTATTCCCATTTTTATTTTCCAAAAAATATTGTCAACATTTTTTTAAAAAATTTACATTTTTTCATTTTTATCTTACAGAGAATCTACAAACTTTCAATAAATCTGTTCTATTGTACTGCCAACAAAACAGGAAAATGTATTATGAAATGTGCAAAAATCACTGGTATTAGTGGATGTGGTGGTGGTTTTTTCTTTTTTCTTCCCAACATTTCCCTCCTCTAAATTTTTTCCTTGTATCAAAGAGATATAAAAATGGGTGCCAATTTTTTGCAAACTCTCTCTATTTTTGAAAATGGCAAAACATTGGTGTTGCAAAAGTACAATATTGTATACGACGATTTTTGTTTTAAAAAATCAGATTTAAAGAAAGTGAGCTTTTTGCACAATTTCTGCTTGAAATGAATTCGAATTACAAAAATAATTATCAAAAACTGCTACAGTTTTCCTCATTTTTTCTACAAATAGAACAAGGGACACGTAAAACAGTGCAGGTCTCTTTCAGCAAATCCTACAAATTTTTCAAAATTGCTAACGGTCATATTAAAAAAAAATAATGTGAGGAAGTATGTGATGTAATTCCATTAGTTGCATTTGTGTTATGCATGGTGATTGAAAGGAAGAAGAAAAGAAAAGGAAAAGAATAAAAGAAAAAAGAAAGAAAAAATCATACAATGTTTTTAATCATGTTTAAATTAAAGGTGAGAAAAAAGATGTGTGCAGCACTTCAGTATTAGCTTGCATTTAGTGAAAAAATAAAAAAGGTAGCTACTGATATTCAGCCTTTTTTGTCCAAATTTCCCTGACGATAGAAAGGTTTTCTACTAGGATTTGTCAGAATAGTTATTGTAATAAATATAATTATATTGTTACCTTCAGAAACTTGCTAAACGAGTACATAAATATGGATAAGAAACATTTGTAGTGCCAATTTAAATGCTCATTTTGCCTACCTATTTCTAGTTTTTTTGTGCACATAAATCCGCAGCTTATTAATACACATGTGTATAAATTATAATATCCGTTATTCATTCAAATAAATCATAGCAATAAATTAAAACAGTTCGCACAAAAATAAATTATAACAAGTACTGTTCCATCAGTTACTTGTGGTGTTCCACAGGGGACAATATTGGGACCACTATTATTCATAATATATATAAATAGCGTGTTTGAGGTATTACCAAGAGGGGAATTAGTGTCCTTTGCCGACGACACTAGTATTATTGTTAAAGCTGATTCGTGGAAAGAGGTTTTATGTAAAGCAGAAATAAAATTAAATCTAATTGATAAATGGCTACAGAACAATTATCTTAGCTTTAATATACAGAAAACTGTCTTTACAACTTATGGAAGTTATTTGGATAGTGTTCCATATCAGTGTAATTTAAAACTACATGAAGATAATTGTAACACTATTCAATGTAACTGTCAAGAGAGAGAGAAAGCTTCACTTGCGAAATACCTGGATATATACATTGATTGCAATTTGAAATGGGGACAATACATATAAAAAATCGCGAATAAATTATATCTTATAATTACTTTTTACAAACTTTCTAAAATATTTAATACAAATCATTTATTAATGATGTACTATGCATTCTTCTGGTCTCTGGCAACGTACGGTATAATTGCATGGGGGGAGCATATGAAAATTCTATTAAACCTCCGAGTGATACACAAAAAAGGATTATTAAATTGATTTTCAAAAAAGATAGATCATCTTCCTCTGAAGTCTTATATAGGGAACATAATATAATTATTATCAAAAAATATTTCTTGGAAAAGGCTCTAATGGAAATGTTCAATTACATGCAAAATACGTAAGAGCGTGAACAAAATATTAAAAGAATAACTACAATACATTCTCTGATTGTAAACACGGACATTGGCTCTCGAAATTATGTTTACGTGAGCTATAGAGTTTTCAATATACTTGGCAGAGATCTCAAATTATTAAATATAAAAAACAAAAAGCTAATTAGACAGTGGCTAATAAACTTAGATAATAAATCTTTGAAAACTATTGTCAGATGAAGCATCTACGTGTATATATAACGTTCATTGTATTTTAATCTTGAAAAATTATAAATATATTATGTAATCTGCATTTACATCTTTCCTACTGTATGTTCATTAATACCATTATATAAAATTACAACACATTTAATACTCTTTTTTTTAACTTTACTATATTTTTTATATCTTTTCTTCAATTATCCTTGTATGGTGGAATTCCAATCAAAAAATAAATAAATAAAAATACATCTACCAATTGTGAGATATGAAATAACTACATTGCGATTACAGGTTTGCACACAGGCTTTTAGCCTCAGCGATATGCGAAATTATATGTATTATATGTTTATATATAAATTTTTGTATCTGTTTAAACAACCTGAATAAATTATTATTATTAAGTAACTCTTAAGTGTACTTGTCAAGCCTTTATGTAATAGTACAAAAAACTCTGCTGAAGAATGTTTTTATATTTTATTGTCCTCTGCTAAAACTAAGTGCATAACAATGCAAACATGCTTATATAATCTCTCGAGACTTTCTATGAAATCTGTACCACTGAACTATAGTATATAATTTCAATAAAATAAATCAAAGCAGCAAGGTGGGCTACAATAAATTGTAGGGTAAGTCTTGGGATTGTAAAGCTTTGAAATATGGGAGGGAATGGGTTTAACAAAAATCATTTTCCAGTGAACCTTTGCGTATCTAACAAATAATTACATGCAACTGATGCATGCTTAGCTAATTTTAAATTGACTGAGCTCAAATAATATGACTTTTTGCGAAACTAATTTTCAGACAGATGCAAGAAATACAATAGATGCCGCTTATTGTAATCACAGTAGTTATTGCCATCATTCTTATGATATCCATTCTGGACTGACATTATGTAAACACTGTTTATTGTGATCAGAATTCATTGTATGTTAACATTGTTTTGAACCCATTTCAATTACATAGTTTTCAGCCCTCCTGGGGCGTGACTTGTAAAGTACCTAAAGCAGATATTTGATTCTCACATGAAGAAATCCTGTGCACTCGCCAACTGAACAATGGAAAATGAATTTCAGGGATGGATGCCCGTGGATGAGAACATGTGCTGGACTAATACAAGACTGCATATGTGAAACCTGCTACATACTACCGAGTGGCAGCAGGAATGTGTAGGAAACAAAATTATGACCATACAATAGAATCCTCTCGACCTCCTTCAATGGCTGAAACGAGACAGAATAGAAATTTGTGATGTGTTGTTCACTTATGGTGACACAGCTCAGTTGATTTATAGAAACATTGCGAGTAATAGATTGATATCAATGGATAATAGGAGGGATCTTTGACTGTATACAAACTCATCCATGAAGGGATAAATTGCTCTGACCTGCTGTCCTTCATCTCTTAAAGAGCATCTGGACTTCACTCAAAACCATTGTCTATTCGCCAAAAAGCTTTCTAGAATTAGTGTGGGAAAGAAGGACACCTTAAAAAGACTGCCAATATCTGAAAGGATAATATTTGCAATGTTATGATTTTTATGAATCACTTGAAAAGTAGACTTTACTGTCTGTGAACTATTTAATTATATCCTTTAAATACATAAAATATAAATACCAAAATTTAAAGTGCACTTAAACAAAGATCTGACTTTTGTATCAAATCTCATATGCTCTTGGATATATTTGCTGATAATTTAATCATACTAATTTTTAGTAGTACGTGCTATTATTTGGTTGTATTTGTTTGTCAATTATTCATCTAAAAGGCACTTTTCATTGTATTTTGATACTATGTATTTCTTTGTATGTGAACATTATGTATTGTACATTTCTTTCTATGTAAACTTTGTATTTTGATACTATGTACTTTTCTGATCTGTGTTTCATGTGTTCTGAATGTTTGTGTTTAGTTTTAAATTGCCTCTTATTTCACATATTCACATATCTTGTATATTATGATGTATTCTAAAGGGAATGCTTCAGTATAAATGAATAAATTAAATTTTAAAAAATTAGAAATAATGATTGAAGGTTTTATCCTGTAGCATATTTTCGAAGTAGCTTTGTCATTGGATAATAATTAATTAGAATTTATCGTCTATTATCATCAATCAGCTAATGATATTATCCAAGTTTCAGAGATTAAAATAAGCAGCATCCACTGTATTTAACACAACAGCACACACATTACCAAATATTACTAAGGTACACACACTGTATCTCAGATGCATTGTTTGACCGTTTGCTATTCTTGCTTTACAAACAATAATATATGTTTTAGGTACAAAAACACATTGAACATGTTTCTTGACCCCCCAAATTTTAATACTTTACTGATTTACTGTACAATATTTAACAATAAGAAGAAGCACTATATTAGAAAATATTACGATTTATAATGTACATTTTTTAAAGTGAACACGAGGCACAAATAATAAGTGGTAGCTATAAACCTAAACATTCAGTGTTGTGTAAATCCAACACTGTCTTATTCGCCATTACATTCCCACTGAATCTCAGTGGTCACTTCACTACACATGCCAATCTTAAAGATGCTGCGCTGCACACGTTTCAATTGAGACTACTTTGGTGACATCAGCATGTAGCTTATCGGTGCAAACAGTAAGCTATGGCTTGTGAGAACAAGAAAAAGAGGTTCTGAGGAGAATTATCTTCTGAAAAATTTGTAATGATGTGTTATCAACAAAAGAACAACACTTTCATCTGAGATGATTGACCGTGTGTGCTGAAGGGTTACCAAATCACTTGCCTAACTATAAATTATTTTCACTTCTTTTCTAAACTGGCGTTAAGGCCAAAAAATACATTCAAGAATTTCAGTAAATCCTTCTGCCAAAATGAGTAACATTTGGCAATACATATCAACAAAATATTGTAAGACAAATATCCACAAGAAATCATGGCTATTTTAAAAATCTTTCCCATTACCATCTGATTCACTAACACTGTTTATAATATATCGTGAAAATTTTAATGTTTCAGAGTCCATACACAAAACGCACAACCTCTGTTTCCACATTTTCTTACTAAAAAAATAACCACTTCAGAAATGAAAAATAATAGATACCCAAGAGTGCGGAAGGTCACAAACGCAAAATTGTTCGGCGGATGAGCACGCATAACATCAATTGGCTCTCCAACAGTTCTGAAAATATTTTCTATCCCATCCTGCAAAATAAGAAAACATTTTAAGTGTTGTTTCTTGAAATGACAATTTTAGAAAAAAATTGTATTAATTTAAGGGCTTGGGAGCCAACATCACTTCACACAGAAAACGATATTTATACACATAATTAACTTATCTAAACTAGAAGGAATTCAAATCTAACTTCATTACTTTTCCATTTGATGTCAAAATTTAATTTTGTTTCCAGAGGCACAAACATGACATGGCTGAAACACATCCAGATTGTAATATTTCAATAGTCGCAAAAATGTGGTATTGGTCTAGCTGTTCTAAAGACTATTTAGACTAATTTTTAATAAACAAGGTTACTGCAAACATTAATCAAAATTGTGGTAAATGCTATGAAATGACTTAAGCTCTCTCAAACCCTTTTAGTTATCATAAATGACAAAATGCAATTTAAAAAGATTGCTTGGGATCATTTGCCTCCTCTTGGCTTACAACCTTCACTAGTCAATAACTTGCCATATTGCAAAACTAACTTTTTAAAATATATTTTTCTTCCATCATATTCATAAAGGTTTAAAAATTATCTTCTGCCAACTCTTTAATCTTGAAGGAACTTACCGATCTAAGCGGAGTATAACATGCAAGAGGTATGCTAATAACTTTTTTTATTTCATAGGCTATTTCACAAGTAATCAAACCACATCAAGTGCAAACATTTGAAGAAAAAATGTTAAGAGTTAATCAAAAACTTTTTTGTCTGGTGCATAGATTGGAAATTTTGCAATTAATTTTGTAATTTTTTTTCCACAAACTTAAGGACCAAATCTGACTATATTAATAAGTTTCTGTACAATCCAAGTTTTCATTTTTCGAGAAAAATGACTTCTCCCTCTCCCTGCTTAACTAATATTAGCACACTTAATTCTCACAAAATGTATGATTTATTATTCTTGTATAACCTATGCAATAATAACATTGACAGTGTTGGAAAATTCCTTTGATTAGTTTACAAAACCATGACCGCAAGATCTTTGCATTTATCAAGAATAAACCTTTCTTACAATGAACCTGTTGTACATGTGTTCTTTGACAAATGGGTTCAAGATTGACTTACGACCTTTAGAGAGCGAGTTCAAATTGCAAGCAACTATTAACCCCAAAAAAATTAATTGCAATAAAACTTTTATATTTCGTATTGAATAGGGCAATTGCCTGAAACTATAAATAATTATTCATATCATATGCATGCAGGACCCAGAACAAAAGCTGACAACTAAACAAACATTACAGGATTAAAATACTTTGGGCTGGAATTTTTGACATCGCTCAAGCAACTTTATTTTCTTGGCAGAAATTAAAAGGACCTGACCATACACTAGAAAGGCTTGCGAGAAGTAAAAAAAATATGACAAGAAATGGATTACATATTGGAAGAAAGTAAAATAATTAGTTAATATTCAATTGATTTCCGCAATTCATTTTTGATTAGTGAGGAATAATTTAGTTTGATAAATGTTCATGATAAATAGGGTCACATCTTATATCAGGATAAGCCCTTCCCACGCATTCTCCATGGATCAATGGTATTAATCATAGAATCACTTAACAAAATAATCTAGAAATCAAATTATCTATCTAGCTTACAAACCTTATCAATGTCTGTTGGCACATTTCCTACATATAATTTAAACATAGTTTTCTCCTTCGATGTCCTGGAACAAGAGGAAATTTCACATTACACATACACTGTAATAAAATTAATATAACTATTAGGGAGAAATTTACAAACCCTAAGGAACAGGGTTGTTTGTCTAAATCCAGGTTGGCTCCTGGCCCATCTTTGTACGAATTGAAATGAGGATCTCTGTATGCTTCTTGCATTGGATCCCAATGTTTATCCATTGGCTTGTACGACGACCGGGACATTTTTATTCCTGAAATATTAGCAAACTGTCAAATTTACACATCCAAATGACATTATGGTCTAATGTTGTATCTCTACACACACAAAAAACAAACACCTCAGCATGGATTATAACTATTACCACTGTTCTACAGAGATGGAATTTTCTACCAAGGTAAATTGCAACGAGGATTAATACTGGTATAACGCCAATTACACATCTGGAGTACCAAAGTAGCAAAGAAAGCTGTCCTATTTCATGTTACCGTATAATTCACGAAGAATTTCTTTAATTTCAAATTTAAAATGCCGCTGTTGAGTAAGTTTTGTAGCAAAATTTACTTTCCAAATTCACTAGTATTCTCGTAACGGTGAAACAGCACTGAATATATAAATCGCACAAGATCATAGAGTTCAATTTACTTAAAAAAATAACGGTGTTAAGATACATCTGATTTAAAAAAAAACGTCGGACAATATTATAACCATTTCCATCATGAAATACTTTCGTTGCAAGTTCAGATATTGCCACTTTTCCGATTCTGCAACATCTACTAGACTCGACTGCACGTGGAACTCTATCTCATCAGAGTTCACAATTTCAGTTTCGGCTACTGCCACAGATTTGTGCTTTATGGAACCACAATTAAGGCGAAGTAACATGAACGCAGGAGAAACTACTGCGAAAATTCACAAACGTCACAACAAAGGCACGGCTGTCATCTAAATGTTGTAATAATATTGGAAAGAATGCACAGTAGTTACCATCAATGTTTGAAATAATATATAAAATCTGAAAGCAATATACTCACTCGGGATAATATTGTTTTTCAAGGGTTTATGCATTCACACTAGTCTCGCTAAAAAAATTCTCATACTTATACTAACATCCACGTACCGCTTCCACTATCAAAAAGTTATCAACAGGATTACAAAGCCAACAACACTCGATCTGTTCTCGCAGCTTCCCTTGCACTACACCATGGAACAAGATTCTCCATGGAACGATTCGTCCACGCTGCAACCCCCGTCCATCACTTTAGAACTCCTGTGGTGCATCCGTTTCTTATCCAATCACAAATCGCTAAGAAGTGTTTCCCGCGCACATGCACTATACCTTCAGGGTTAGCGCGATAAATAAATTTACAATTTCATTTATTCAACCGAAAAAAATCCAAATTTTATAGCAACACTTTATTAAATAATACACTACAAATATTAAAGATATAAGAAAACATGGGAATGGCGAAAAAGGCGCGAATTTAGTTATACATGTGCGATTTACGCATGCGCAAATAAGATATGAGTCAACAGTAGAAATTCGTCCAAATGAGGTAATATTTTATAGTATATATTATTTGTATTTCAATGGAATACTAGTACAAATAATCAAATGCATATTACATAAAAAATAATCGTATAGAATATGATGTCGCACGTATGATTTATATAAATAAAATTAGTATCTTTAATTTCAAAATAACTCTTCTTTTATAATCTCTTAAGACAATTTACATGTCTAATAATCTCACATGACAAGATGGTTTAAAGAATAATTCATTTTTTCATGTTTTCGGTCTCTTCACAGTACAAAGTATCAAGTATCCGATTTCAATCCGGTTTTCACTGATAAAAAGTGTTCTGAATAACTTGGCCTACCCTTTCCAAATTATTATTTTCTATTATATAAAGAAAGTCTATTTGTTTTTTATCTACAGTTTTTTTTCGACTTTGTTAAATTTTGTACATATGAACTTCAAAAATCCAGTCAAATCAGACATATTGAGTGAGAAAAATCCTGGAGTTTTGAAACTTGGCATGTTGGTAGAGGTACAAATATTTGGTAGAGAATTGTGTACATTGTCAACATGCAAATTACATAAAATAATACAAATGTCTCGACTGAGGCAGTCATTAGAAAAACATAACTCATTGCAAAACTGTCGAAGCCGTTAGTGATTTTAGGGATGTTGGGGCTTCACATAATTTACTAATTATTGGACGTTCGTATCATTCGTCATTGACACTCAAGTTTTAGTTAGCACCAGTGGCGTAACGTTCGGGCCCACGTATTAAGGGACAGGGGGGGAGGGCTATTTTTAGGCTGAATGTTGCGGTTGTAAGAAATATTACTCACTTGATACTTTGCGATAGTTGATGCATTAAAAGTTTAAAAACATCTTCCAGAAGAACGATTTTTGTCCATTTCGGTAGTTTACGTAACCGTTTCTAAATCAATAAAGGTAAGCAATTCATTGAGGTTTTATTACAGTCTTAATTTCATAAAATTAAATAATTAAAGGCCTATTTTTCCATTATTGAGTACAAGCACTATACCATTGTTAACAATAAACACGACACACAAACTCTTTCGTTGGTTGTTCGTAGGTCGTTTAGTCGTTGGGTATTTAGGTTGTTTAGGTTTAGGATATATACTCTCTGGTTTAGGTTTGAAGATTGCCATGTTATGTGATAACGCTCAGACGAGAGCGTTGCCGCCGACGGATATATACTCTCTGTTGCCGACAACGCTTTACAATAAAAACGTAGTTAAATTAGGGGTTGATAGCATCGTCTTGGCTTGTACCGCCTTTTTTTAATGCTCCAGTTAATGAGATTATGCATTTCTAAAGTATTGTGGGCGCGTTTAAAGAAAAATTAATATTGTGGATATTTTTTTAAAGAAGAGGCCCGGATAAAAGCGATTAAGGATTCATTTTATGATGGAGTCCGGATAAAAGTTTTGCGGGTGAGCCAGTACTCATTTCGTACGCATCTAGTTGTATTGACGGTAAACGTGATTATTCTGTTAGTATTGTTTTATGTAATTTGTATGTTAGTAAGGTACACAAGTCTTTACTAAATATTTGTACTCGATCCTTATCAAATAAATTATGGATTATCCAGGCGCGGATCCAAGAGGGGGGATGAGAGAAATTCCCCCTCCCCTAAATTTTTTCAGGAACTATTAATTTTAACTTGTCACGAAACTTTCAAACAAAACTATTTTCGGATTATCATTAAAACGAATAAAGTATCGCAGCATGATCTGAGTGTAGCCTGCGACGTTTTACAAAATATATAACACATATATTTGAAGAAAACATTTTCATTTTCCCCTTTCAAAATTAGTTTCTGGATCTGCCCCTTAATTATCAGATTTCATACCCGAGGTAATCTAGGACCTCAATGACCACGAATACTCATAAATCTATACACAAAATACGATTTGTAAAAATGTAAAATGTTCCTGTTTCTCTCTCTCTCTTTTTTTTCCCCCGCAAATATGCATGCAACGGTTCATAAATGTTGAACAAAAATATAATTACTTCCGCGCATTGAAGTTGTCATATCATCATTTTTATAATGGGATTGATTAGTTGTAGAGAAATGCAAAAAACGTCGTAAATGCAACGTTCCATGTAAGAAAGAAAGAAAGAAAGAAAGAAAAAAAAAAGCACCTTGAAATGGCTTTCCCGTCTCCGGCTCACCCCCACACTTCAATAATCATGCCAAATTTCAAAACTATGGGATCTTTTTTCCTTCGATCGCCAGTTTTTGATATAATTTGACTGAGCTATTAGTTGAATTAACTGCAACTGAAAACTATTTTTTGTTACATTAACTGCACACTGGGGTTTCGTGAACCCCATAGATTTTTATTGTTAGAAAATATTCAGAAAATTATGTATGATTGTTAATGTATTTTATTTCTATTTAAGAATGCACAAAAACAAAAAAGAAAACACAAAAATGGAATTTAAAAATAAAATTATCAATTTTTAACGTATAATTTTTCTTCCGATTTTAACAGAATGATTACAAATACACGTTGAAATCACATCACACAAGAATGCAGCGCAAACGGAAATTTTATGAATTCCTATTGTCATATCGGATAAGCATAATATGTAGAATACGATTTATATTTTATTATTTGTACGCAGAACAATCGGAAACCACAGACTGGGTAAGAATAAACCCTAGTTGCACCACTGACGAATTAGCTTCTATCCTCGGCGAAAAATTGGCACCAACTAAGACTAAGAAGCAACGGCTTAATTCAAATTTACATAAAGCGCTATGAGGCTGTTGTCAGAAATTTCCCCTCAGTGTGAATTTGAAATGTTAGAAACTATTTTACAAAAACAAGCTATAGATTTGTTATAACAGTCCTGTTACCGAAACAAACAACCCTCCCACTCTCGCATTTAGCGAAACGAGGGCTCAAGAAAACGTGCGATGATAACACTGTCTACAGAGCCAGATTAACCCTCGTGGCTCAGAGCGAAGTCGCTCTTCTTTCACAAGTAGGGCCGGGTTCGATTCCTAGTCAATCTCGCGTGAAATTCGTTCCGACAAAACGAGTTAGGCTGCTTCACAAGGGCTAGTCGAACCCCTGTGAAGTGTCCTAAATCCTTTACAATTCTAGCCGCTGGGTAATGGCCCAGGAGCACACAAGAGAGAGAGAGGCGCGTACGCGGAGATGCTACTTGGCGGTCCTCTTACCGACTCCTGACCAGACTTACGGATCACATATTAATTTAGTAACGGAGAATACAGCTTATAAGCGTTCTACGCCAAGTTCTTGGTTTGTCACAGAAATGTGACAGTGAACATTGCCACAGAATTTAAACTGTGACAGAAGGTTTATAGTTTTTAAATAAAAAAAATTCCTTGAGACTTCCAACGGTCTTCGTGTGGCGAGTGGTGGGAGGCCTTATGATTCACTCCATTAGCCAATCCTAATTTTTACTTATGGATGAAAAAATCTACATTTCATTTTCTACTAAGAAAGTGATGTCTATATTTGAGTTTTATACGATTTATATTTGCCTATATAATTTTATGTAGTTCTTAATTGTGTGTATTAGGTAATTGTTCTTATTATATGAGTAATAAAAGGTAAACCACAGCACACAAAAAATCTACACTAGTATTTTATTTTTTCTGATTATGTACATAATATTACCAGAAACAAGATATAAATTGCCCTGGCCTCTGGCCCGACAGCCCGCTAATGACCCGAATTGGCCCACCTGCGGGGACCCCCCACAATACAAAAGCATAAGTCCCAAGTAAAATATTTTCTGCTGCACAACTGTTTCTAAACAGACACTATACCGAGCATCCAAAAGAAAAGTTATATTAATTTTAACAATGACATTTAATGTATTATATACCATTTGGATTGTGCTATTGTAAAGAACCTATAACAAGTATTGAACTTCAGCTTCTGGGTCAATGACCTCCATCTCGATCAGGTTTTCGTCCAGTTTCCCTGATCCTCGAGCAAATGCTAAGATGGCCCCTTTTTTTGCTTCTGGACATCAATGTAACTTCAAATTAACTACTCCCCATAGCACGTCACACAGTTTTTAACTGTTTTTGACGGAAATAAATAAGAACCGAAATATTTTTTACAATATTAAAGAATTAAACCTCGTCCCATATGGAAATTTTCGTTGAAAATTTTGAGCCTTTTTAAGAAAAAATTGTTTAAGCTCTAGTGTAAATGCGAAATTTTAACCTTTTTTCCACGGGAATATTTTTTATTCGAAAAATCTCGTTTTTAGGTATTTGAAGTACTTCCACACGCAAAATACAATAATGTATTAAGAGGGGTCAAAATACATTTCAAGATATATTGAAAACAAAATTAAAATAACGTTGACGAAATATCATGGGTAGAATGGGCAAATACAATGAAATAAAAATAATTGTGAGACATTGGGGACTCGAGAGTAGAGAATATGTGAATAGAATTCATTTGGGCTTGGCATTTTGAATAATACAAAAAATATTTTTACTTTAGAAATTATGTATAGAAGGTATTGTTATTAAGACAAGTAAACACAGATGTGCAAGAGAGACGTAAATACAATAGCATCGATATGGCAAATAACAATGAGAAACAAACTAAGCTGTAGGAGGATGAACGGTTACAGAGTAGATGCTGAGTAGACACTGAGAACATGATGTGATTTGTTCGGAGCCGGATGTATTCCGTGGGCAACAAAAATCTTTTAAAATTTCAGAATGCATTGAAGTAGACGTCAATACTAGGTCGCGGGATGTCTG